CATAATGAAATAAACCCCATACAGGCAGCAGCAAGGATGAGTTCAAAAGCATTAACTAGAAACAAACTTTGCTTGTTGTTCATTTTATACGATGTTCTAGCACAGGCGAACTGATTTCTGAAGATAAAAATAAGCAATTTTGGCMTGGAATATGTAACTGGGGAATATATCWCAAAGCCATAATGAAWCATTTTAGGGTGATAGTGYRTGCACRTGTGTGTGYATTTATATCCAAAGAAAAAAATCTTAGCCCACAAAGAAAACATTTTCCCCAATGCATTCATATACTCTGAATTATGAATGGAAATAATATTTTTTCAAATGTAATTCATGTATGTAAATTATTATTGTTTTAACAGAAATCAACAAAATATGACCTTTAATTTTTCCTTGAGTTATAACTATTAAATTAAACTATTTCATATGTGAAGTATAAAATATAGTATTTAAGATAGTCTACCTAATTTGCATATCCATCATCTCAGGAATTTTTGGTGGGTATGGTGAGAACATTTAATGTCTACTGTTAGCATAATTTCAACTATACAGTTGAGTAATGTTAYCTACAGTCACCCTGGTGGACATTAGCTCGACAGAAATTATTCACTCTCCATGACTGAAACTTTTTTCCCATAGTCAAAATCTCTGAATTATCCCTATCTCTAGGCTTTTTAAACCACCATTGCACTCTGATTCTATGAGTTTAAATTTTTAYACTCCACATAAAACTATGACCATGTAGTAAAATATGATGCTTTTAAAAGTATATAAGCTATATGTGTATCTATATTTTACTACATAAATTTCCAAAGTATATATTCAGTTTGCAGTGTTTAACACATTGAATTAGGATCTAATGAAAATTTCTATTCCTATATTTAAAATAACCTGTAATTCAAAGCAGGTTTTCTGCCCAGTGAAGAAGATATCCATCTTCACAGGTTCTTTGTTCCTGGACATTTTTTGTTTTGTTACATTTCTCATTTCATCTCACAGTATCATGATTGAGCCAGCAAAGCCCACTGATATTTTAATTCATTTTAAATTCCTCTGGTTGTATGCAGAATTTTTTCTGCCTCCAAATTCATATATTATAAYCCTAACTACTATTATTGAGAAGAAAATGTTATTTAGAAATGGGTCTTTCAAGAGGTGACTGAATTAAAATGAGATCCTTAAGCTGCATCCAAATCCAATCCAACTGGTTCCTTCATGAGAACAGGAGATGAGGGAAGAAAGAGGGAGATGCATCTGACACAAACAGACCAGGAACAGCCACACCAGGAYACAGCTGATGAGGTGGCCATCTGCAGGCCAAAGGAGTGGCAGACGACAAATCAGATCTACTGGGCTGGGTGGTGCATGCCTCTAATCCCAGCAGTTTGGGAGGCTGGGGGAGGAAGATTGTGAGCTGAAAGCCAGGCTCAATTTAGCAATCCCCTAAACTATTTAGCAAGACCCTGTCTCTAATAAAATATATAAAAAAAAATGGTTGGGGATGTGGCTTAGTGGTTAACATCCCTGAATATTGAGTGGTATTTTATTATGGCAGCTCTGAAAAATTAATAAAACATGTATCCTTATTTCTTTACTTAATCTCCACCACCACCATCAGGTAATCACACTTGAGTATTTACTGTGGATATACTCGATCCTTATGTTCTTAGAAAGTATGCATTTTTGTACAATAGGCATGTGTTTAACAAAAAGTCATCATGCTCTATATCTCCACTTGTAACTTTAAATTTAAGTCTACAGGGGACAATCTTGTGTAGTGTATGCATATGTGTGTGTATTTATATCCAAAGAAATGTTAGCCCACAAAGAAGACAATTTCCCCAATTGTTTCTAAATATTTTTGTAAATATTATATTCAGAAATTGCATATATAWAAAATATTCAGTGTTTTAAAAATCCATTTATACATTTGGAAAATTTTAGTCATTTTCAAAAGATCCTTTGCTCAAATACTGTTTGAATCCTCTCCAGTATTTGTCTACTCTTCTTTTATCTCCTGAACAGCAAGTATACAGGAAAGATCAAAAGAATTTTAGTAAATGAGTACTAATTTTTAGAGGGAGTATCCTTCTTCTATTGTCCACGTTATAATTTTCCAGGAAGTATTTGCAATGTTATTCTATTGTTGAAGTATAAGGAATAAAAATCCCAACAGAAAAGGTGGCATAATAAACACATTCCTTACAGATGTACACTGTTCTAATTTCAGGGTCAATTAGGTTCTAGCTCTTATATGTTTCTTTCTTTCTTCTTCTTCTTCTTTTTTTTTGCAATAAATATGTGCCTGGAAATCAGCTGATTTGACAGACACACCTCAAACACTGGGTCCCCTAGATATGAAGGAATTGACAGTCTACGGTTCAGACTGCTACAAAGAATATAGAATGGACTGGGGTTGTGGCTTAGTGGTAGAGCACTTGCCTCCCATGTGTGAGGCACTGGGTTCAATTTTCAGCACCACATATAAATAAATGAATAAAATAAAGGTCCATCAACACAAAAAAAAGATTTAAAAAATTAAAAACAAAGAATATAGAAGGAGTGTACAGAGAATTCCTGGAGTAGAGCCCTGTTAAGGAACCAGTCCTAGGTGGCATATTCCCTGAAGATGTAACAGGAAATATGTGGATCCCAGAGCCACCTGTGCCTCAGAGGTAAGGTCCAAGGTATATAGAACACATGGATTCTCATTGCTGCAGTCCAGAAACTCAAACTTGAAGCAGATTCTCATAAGAGGTGAATAAAAAATATTGATTTTATTTTTCCATAAGGATCTTAAAGACATTCAAACCATGGCTCAAAATAAGCCACTTCACTTTGATTTTGGAAGATACCATGAATTCCATAAAATTTTAAAAAACATACAGTACTTACCCTATATTTATTTTTGATATTTTAACTGTTTTCATAAATACAGGGAGTCAAATAGGATACATTTATACATATTTACAAATTAAAACTGGCATCATGTCTCATAAAGAAAGTAGATGCATAACTACTCAAAGTCAAAATCATGCCCCTCCTTGAGGGCATAACTACAGACAACAAATTTTGTCAGAAAAAATTATCAGTTAATCTGATAACACACACAAAAATAAACATAGACGCATAGTACAGTAACAATGCAATAATGGAACATATTTATATAAATCTTATATCTTACAGAAAAATCTTCTAACATTTTAGTACAATCGTATAAAAAATGACTTTTGTTCATTAGACAAAAAGAAAACAAAAAGACTTCCATTTGACCAGTGGCACTTGTGAGAGGGTTGGTCTTCAGTAGAAAATGAGGAAGATTAAACAAGAAACTTGTTAAGATTTTTGGTCACTATTTCAATAAAAACTTTAAGATAGAATATGAATATATATATATATATATATATATATATATATATATATATATATATATTGTCATGATTTAGACTGAAATTTCTCAAATGCTTGTGAAATTAATTGTTCCAGTGTGCTCTAGACATAAATATTAACATGGCTAAATGATTGTTAATATTTTATGAACAACTACGACATACTATCTGGGATGCATCACTTTGATTACTCTGTTCTTTTATATTCAAGACATACCTGACATACCTATATCTTTCACTTATACACCTCCTACATAATTCCTTGTAAGATTTATATTGAGAGTACCTTGTTTCTGTTTCTAATTTTTCTAATCTACTAACCTCTGTCTCCTGCTTCTTCTTCTTGGCTCAGTCAGCACCTTGAAAATACCGTCACTCTGCTTTGTTTCTTTGAATTTCAATTCGACTCCATAGTTTGTGCTTTCAAATCAGTACAATTCATAATCTTCATAACAGTCTGAGTAATATTCTTAAAACTTAAATCTTATCACATTTTTCACCTATCATAAAATTTCTCAATAGTGTAAAATAGACCTAAAATCCTAATATATAAAAATGTATTATCTGAGTTCTCTGAAGTTATTTTCTACTCCATTGTACATATTCCAAGTTGCCTGGATTCCTAAAAATTGTTCTTCCTTTGCTTTCACAGAACAGCTGATTACTTCTGATTGTTTATGTCTTTAGTTTTCAATTTCAAAGTGACCTTGGAAGACTATCTGTTAATCTCTCTTGTGAAATTGCTGATCCAAGTTATTTTAACTTGTTTATTTTTTTTTTCAGTGCTGGAGTTCAAACCCAGGACCTGTGAATGCTAGATACACACTCTATTATAAGCTACATTCACATGCTCTTAGATTACGTAAATCATCTACGCGCTCTGTTTAATTTTCTCATTGAACTTACTAACTTACTACACTCTATCTATTTTCTTTCAATATTTGACTTTTTTTTTTTTTTTTTTTTTTTTTTTTTTTTTTTTTTTTTTTTTTTTTTTTTTTTTTTTTTTTTTTTTTTTTTAGTATTAGTGATTCAACCAAGGGTGCTTAACCATTGGCCGCATTCCCATCCCTTTTTAAATTTTTTTTAATGCTTTTGAGACAGGGTATCCCTGGATTTTTTTACACTCATAATAAATTGCTGAGGATGGCTTTGAACCTCTGATCCTCCTGCCTCAGCCTCCCAAGCTTCTGGGATTTCAGGCATGCACCACTGAATCTGACTTATTTGACAATTTTTTGTCTGTTCCCTGTAATTGGAATGACAAATCCATGAGTTGAAGGGCAAGTAATTATCTGAGTTTTCAAAGTTGTCTGGAACAGAGTAGAATTTCAATCAATATGTGGTTAATAAATAAATAAGAAAACAATAAAGAGAACCAAGCATTATGGTTTTATTTTTCTGATTCTCTGTGTCTTATCATTTCATTTATTTCAATGCATAATAATTTTCTCTTTTTACCTTATTTTTCTATATGTTTTAGAGGGAGAGAAAATGTCAACAGTTCCAGGTTTTTACTGCTTAGACATTTATCAAAATATAATCTTTACTCTCAGGAACTGAACTTCAAGTCTTTAGGTAAGAACACATGACAGGTCTTACTATTTTACATTACTCATTTGTCAGTAGGGACTGGAAAGGGACTCTAATTGGTTTACTTTGGGAGATCATTCTTAAGATAAATAATCTAGAAAAACATTTAATAATATGAAATAGCATGTTATTCTATGGCAGATAATATTCACTGTAACTATCAGAGCAAGTACATAGCATGAGAATATTTACTATGACCACTATAGCTGTCAAATTGTGAAAAAGGTCAATTAAAGGGTTTAACTAAAATTAAGAGCATATTTTTTTTAATTATAAAAAAAGGTTTAAATGTAATAAATAAAAATGTTGATAAAAATAAAACAGTGGAAAGAATGGGAGGAATTATACAGCTTCTGGAACAACAAAACAAGAATAATGAGAAGGGAAAGGTAGGAAGAAATACCCAGTAAATCATCATGTCAACAAGTTACAAAAATGGTAAAATTGTCACTGTTATGTTTTTGTTAAAGATTGAAAAAGGAAACTAGTTATCTAAAAAGTAGGTTTTAGATCGTATCTCTAGATATTTTTTTCTGAGTAAATAAAACGGAAAATGAAAACAAAACCGTTAACAGACTTAAATAATTGAATAGGGTAATTGAAAAAACAGAATACACAGAATGGGAAAGGATAGGGSCTAGAATCATCTGTTCTAGGGAAAGAGAAAAAAAAAAGTAGTATCAGATCAAGAGATTACAAAGAATCATTGAATTTTTTTATTGTTATAATTCCTGGTGGCTCTCTCCTACTCAATGAAAAAGAAATGATATGAATWATGGCTTCCAGTGTTTGCAAGGAAAGGACAATATTAACTGCTTTAGGGGTCAAAGAAGTAAACCCTCAAAATGTTCCATGATCCTGGACTACCTTATAACTTACCATACTTTAACATGCATATGGTTACAAATTTTTAATCAATGAGCAAAACTAAAACATAATTTAATGAAATCTCACCCAAAGAATTGTCATTATATAATAATAAGTTTATAAGAAATTATTAACCTTGTAACTATTTATTATTATTATTATTCTACAAACAGATGAATTCCACTGCACTCATGGCTCCTGGAAATCTCACCCAGGTGACTGAGTTCATTCTCACAGGAGTCTCAGATGTTCCAGAGCTGCAGATTCCTCTCTTTCTTGTCTTCCTGCTCATCTATGGGCTGACTGTGATGGGGAACCTGGGCATCATCACCCTCACCAGTGTTGACTCTCAACTGCAAACCCCCATGTACTTTTTCCTTCGACATCTGGCTATTATAAATTTTAGCAACTCTACTGTCATTGCCCCTAAAATGCTGGTCAACTACGTATTAAGTAAGAAAACCACTTCATACTATGAATGTGCTACCCGACTGGGAGCATTCCTGGTTTTTATCATAGTTGAGGTGTTCATGCTGGCAGTGATGGGCTATGACCGCTATGTGGCCATTTGCAATCCCCTGCTCTACATGGTGGTGGTATCTCGGCAGACTTGCAAACTGCTGGTTTCACTCACCTACCTGTATAGCTTTTCCACAGCTACTGTGGTTTCATCTTTGGTATTCTCTGAGTCTTATTGTGCTTCCAATGTCATCAATCATTTTTACTGTGACAATGTCCCTCTGTTAGCCCTGTCCTGCTCTGATAYTTACATTCCAGAAACAATAATCTTTGTATCTGCAGCAACAACTTTGTTTTTTTCTATAACAATAGTTCTAGTATCTTATTTCAACATTTTTTTGTCTATTCTAAGGATGCRTTCATCAGAGGGAAGGAAAAAAGCCTTTTCCACCTGTGCTTCACATATGATGGCAGTCACAGTTTTCTATGGGACTCTGCTGTTCATGTATTTGCAGCCTCGAACCAGCCATTCCCTGGACACTGATAAAATGGCATCTGTGTTTTACACCCTGGTGATCCCCATGCTGAACCCCATGATCTACAGCCTGAGGAACAAGGATGTGAAGGCTGCCTTAAGGAGATTCCTGACAAATCCATTCTGGTCCCTTAAAACAATGAAGTTTATGAACTTGTAGGTAAATAAAGAGGAAGATATGATTACCTTAGTAATCTTAGTTATGTAACTAAGCTGACAATTTAAGGTATTTCTAGGAAAAATAAGAGGGTCTAGGGTCTAGGATGCAAAGGTTATTAAATTAAAAAATAAWCTGTAGGTTATTAAGTTGTGACGGTAACATAGAAACACAGATACTATTCCATAACTCTGCCTGCAAGTGAGCTGGTCACCAGTGTGAAAAAAAAAAATAAAGTTCTGCAGAGTCCAGGCAGATATATGTTTCAAAAAGTTAAACAAATTTAAAATGAATAAAGGCATATGCAAAAGAGGAATAAAGCTTATCATATTTGTTCCTGGCTTTTGTTCTTGTTTCTTCTGAGTATAATTGACATAATGGATCACTGCACCTTGACAAACTGTAATTACAGRTAAATAATGTAATTTTTATATAAGTTATCAAAATTGAACTGATATTTCTATTTAAAACTCCCTGTCTCTTTCTTAATGTATTTGGAATGAATAACTGAATTCTACTAATAGGTAGCATTTAATGCTTCCATGTAATGTTATGTACAATTTTAAAATAATTCCCAACATACAATATAATTTCATGCAAATTTGATTTATATGCTTGATACATTCTTTAAAGGTTTTTCTTTTTCTTTGTTCTGAATATATTCTTTTATATTTTGTGAAATTAATATCTTTTACTGTGGTATTAYTGGACTTTAATGGATTATCTTCATCTACATACCTTACATCATTACAGGAAAAATAAAATAAATTCATCAATGATTTTGCTTTATTTGTGGAAACTCCATGATCTGTAAGCATACACTAAAATCTGTTGTATACAACCTTAAATATGTGGTGGACAACCAGGCTATATTTGAGAATTATCAAATCAGAATCATAAATTACTGGCCATAAAGACATATTTAAATAGTTTCACGTACATTCCTGTATAGGACTGTAAGAATAAATTCTGGCAAATATCAAAGAATTAAACTGGAAAACATATGATAACATTATATGCCTATATTCTCTTTACTCATAATCGTGTTTTGACAATGAGTTTTTTAATATTATTACTAAATATTTAGTCAGAATAATTACAACAAAAACACTATAATGCTTTAAGAAAAATTAGACTCAGAGACATAGAAATGTTATAATTAATATATATTCAGAGTTGTATTAAAGTTAACATATTCAGTCTATCTTTTTACAAAGTCTATCTTCCTCTGGCTTAGACAAAAAATAACAGGATAAATGTTTGGTGTAGGGTGTGATTGTGAGTTAATTGACTTATCTTTCTTAGTCCCACACTGACTTACATTTTATTTTGTATTATTTTCCATCTTAATATGTTTGTAATACCTATACATATAGTATGTATATGTATTATGTATACATATTCACACATATATCTTTAGAATTTCATGTATTTCAATGACATTAAGATATGCTTGTGTATACATATGCAAACACACATATATATTTAGCAACATATATATTTATCACCTATAATTCAAGAATAAAAAGAGATAATATAACAAAAATAGAAAAAAAACATAAATCTAACTGTAAATATTATTTATYATTAAGCTCATGACAAAGAGTCCCCAACATCCTTTGTGATGTGGAAAATGAAATAACAATAACWGTGAGAAAGTCTCTCCTGGACACATTTTTGAAGTGAAATAAAAAATCCCCTGTTATCCAAGGACCCAGTTTCAAGCTACTACTAATTATCAGTTACTACCTCTGATTCCTGAAGTTATCTTACTTTGCTGTTTGGAATGCATTAATACTTTTCTTTGGCAAACAGGTGGACAATATTCTATAAAGTTAAATATGCAACTAACTTATGTTCCAGGGATTACCCTCATGGATTTTTACCTACAGAGAATGACAATATGTCTAGAAAAATATACATACACTCATGTTACTGATGTTGTGTATAAAATAATTTAAAAGAAAAATAATWAACTGCTCATCAACAAATAAAAATTAAACTATTGCATTTGGATAAATAACATACTACTCAGTGACAGAATAAAATGAACTCCCAAATAGGCAGCAACTGCCTAAGCTTCAATAGCATTAATCACACAAACWTTTCTGGTTTTTCCTTTTAGATAATGTTCTAGAACAAGCCAACTAATCTCTGAAGAGAAACATAAGCAATTTAGGCTTGAGATATGGGAAAATGTATGACAAAAAGACTTCAGGAAACATTTAWGATGATAAAATACTCTGAATTAGGAAAAAATAGCATTTTTCRAATGTTACCCATGTAATTAGTATGTTGACCGAAAGCAATAGAATATGACACTTTTATTTAATTTTTCAGATGTTTTAGTTATTATTGGGCTGGGTTTGTGGCTCAGTGGTAGAGCGTTCACCTAGCAGGTGTGAGGCATTGGGTTTGATCCTCAATACACATAAAAATAAAGTTATTGTGTCCACCTAAAACTAAAAGATAAATATATAAAAAATAGTATATATATATAAAGTGTAAGCCATGTTTATCATGATCAGTCTTTTCTGCATATCTGTCACCTCATATAGCAAACTTTTTCAGGTAGTATGTTAAGAAAATTTAGTATCTGCTATAAGCTTAATGTCAAATATTGGTCTGAGTAAACTTATGTACAGCCACCATGCTGGACATTAGCTCTACAGATATAATTRTCCCCCATAACTGAAGATTTTTTCTCTTTGTTCAAAATATTCAAAATACYCCCACCCCTGCACCTTGAGACTGCCAATCCACACTTTGTGAGTTTAATTTGTTTTCAGATTTCACATAAAAATGAGATCATGTAGTAAAAACACGATCCTTTTAAAAGGATATTCACTATGSGTGACTATATTTTACTAAATAAATTTCCAAAGTATATATTTAGTTTCCAGTGTTTGGATGTATTGAATAATGATATTATGAAGACTTTTTTCTCTATTTTAATAAGTGTAATACACTTCAGAACAGGTTTGCATGAGCAGGTTTACTCATGAAGATGTCTGTCTTTACTTTTTTTTTTTCACCTCAGAGATCTGAAAGACTTATGTTTTTCATTTCATCTTAGAATGTCATCACTGTGCTAGCAAAGAYCCCTTCTATTTTAAATTATTTTTTAATCCCTTTGATAATGGGAAGAATGTAGTCTCCCCAAATTGGCATAAATTAATAGAAAACCCTAAAAATTTTTACGGAGAAGGGATGTAATCCAATACATGTGGTTCCTTTATAATAAAAGGAGATGAGGGCAGAGAGGGAGATGCACCAGACACAAACACAGACAAGGAGAAGCCACTCCAGGGCACAGCTGAGGCGGTGGCCATCTGCAGGCCAAGGAGTGGCAGATGAGAAACCAAACCCACAGACATCTAGRTCTTGGACTTTGGGGCTCCTAACTRTAAGAAAATAAATTTACATTGTTTKTAGTTGCATGGTATWTTATTACAGTAACTCTCAAAAATCAATAAACCTTGTATYTTTATTTCTTTTTCTTTAATAATTTATTTATTCTAACTTGTTATGTATGATGGCAGAATGCAATTCATTTCATATTACACATAKAGAGCACAATTTTCAAGTCACTGATTGTACACAAAGTATTTTCACACCATTCATGTCTTCATATATGTATTTAGGGTAATGATGTCCAAYTCATTCCACCATCATTCATACCCCCCTGCCTCCTCCCTTCCCTTCCTTCCCCTTTTCCCAATCTAAAGTYCCTCCATTCCTCCCATGCTCCACTTCCCACATTGCCATATGAGTAATATCTTCATATCAAAGAAAACATTTGGCCTTTGTTTGGGATCGGCTTGCTTCAGTGAGATTTATATTCTCCAATTTTATCCATTTACCTGAAGTGCCAGAATTTTATTCTCTTTTAATGCTGAGTAATATTCTATTGTGTATATAAACAAAAGTTTCCCTATATCCACTCATCTACTGAAGGGCATCTGGGTGGGTTCCTCAATTTAGCTATTGTGAACTGTGCTGCTATAAACATTGATATGGCTGTGTCCCTCTAGTATTCTGTTTTTAAGTCCTTTGGGTATAAGCCAAGGAGTGGGATAGCTGGGTCAGGTAGTGGTTCTATTCCAAATTTTCCAAGGAATTGCCATACTGCTTTCCAGATTGGTTGCACCATTTTGCAGTCCCACCAGCAATGTATGAGTGTGCCTTTTTCCCCACATCCTCACCAACACTAATTGTTGTTTGTATTCTTGATAGCTGCCATTCTGAATCCAGTGAAATTAAATCTTGGAGTAGTTTTATTTGCATTTCTCTAATTGCTAGAGATGTCAAACACTTTTTCATATGATTCTTGATTRATTGTATATCTTCTTCTGAGAAGTGTCTGTTCAGTTCCTTTTCCCATTTATTGATTTATTTTTTTATTTTATTTTATTTTTGGTGTTAAGGTTTTTGAGTGCTTAATATATCCTAGAGATTAGTGCTATGTCTAATGTGTTTGTGGTAAAGATTTCCCCCATTCTATAGGCTCCCTATTCACTTCACTGATTAATTCTGCCTATCCAAGAACAAGGCAGATCTCTCTTATAAGATATTCTTTAATTTGTTTCTTTAATGTGTTGTAGTCTTTCACCTCTTTTGTTAAATTTATCCCCAAGATTTTTGCTGTTGTTGTTTTCTTTTTAAGGCTATTATAAATAGGATGGTTATTCGAGTTTTATTTTCAGTAGATTTGTCACTGATGTACAGAMATGTTTTTGATTTTCGGTGTTGATTTTATATCCAGCTACTTTGCTAAATTCATTTATTAGTTATAGGAGATTACTGATGGAATGTATTGGGTCTTCTAGGTATAGAGTCATACCAACTGCAAATAGTGACAATTTGAATTCTTCTTTTCTCATTTGTATCCCCACCCTTTTTTTTTTTTTTTGTCTTTATGATTGCTTTCGTTAGAGATTCAAGAACTATGTTGAATAGAAGTGGTGAAATAGGGCATCCTGTCTTGTTCCAGTTTTTAGAGG